ACAAAAGGGAACATACAGGGTGAGATGTTCTCGTCCAGTTTCTTCAGCCACCACTTAGAAGGGGTGGGTCTTTCCATCTCCTCCCCCAAGGTTTTTTTGTGACCAATCCCACCCTGCCTGCTCCACAGAGGAACAGGAGGAAGAAGTAACTTCAGTTGGCCCAAGACATGCAGCACATGCCACTCTAAACAGCTACAGAAAGTCAAATCTGCCAGTCCATAGGACAGCAGACTCCACGGTGCCTCAGCCAGCTGTGAGGACACCACCAACGCCCTGGCTCTCCAAGATACTTTCCTCAGGGAAACCTTGGAGGAGAGAAGCTTATGTCGGGAGGCCAGCCCTCTTCTGAGTACTTCACCCAGGAAGAGGAAAAGGGGCGGATGCTGCTTTGATTGTCACACAGGTTGGAGGTCTGTGTGCTCCAAACATGGCACAGGCATGCTGGGGGGTCATTGCAAGACCCGGAGGCCCTGAAAGAGCTGTCTGCGCCCCTCTGAGTGTCCTGGATCCACTGCTCACCACTGGACAGGCTGGAGGGGGACACGGGGAACACCCTGGATGGCACAAGGTCCCTTTCCTCCTTTCCTCCTGACCACCTCTCAGATGCTCACCTGCTTCTTGGCTAGATGGAGAGGGAGGTCAGCCTGCCTGGCAGCCTTTGATGTGAAACTGCTTGGATAAGGTTTCCTTTGCCATTTCTCTATGTGGCGAGGTCTGGCTGAGCCACAGCTGCAGGGCGGGAGCACTGTACAGCCTCAGGCCTTTGGGCCCCTTGTGTCTCAAACTCAGTCCTGACCTTCTTTTCCTCAAGACACTGGTGCTATCAAGTGGGCTGTAGCTGCTTGATGTGTGTGTGTGTGTGTGTGTGTGTGTGTGTGTGTGTGTGTGTGTGTGTGTGTGTAGAGGCCACAGAAAATCTCAGCGGTCATGTCCTGCCCCTAGTGAAGTCATGGATCTTGGAGGAGAATCTATAACCATCAATTTTCAAAACCAGCACAATCCCTAACTACATTCTATGTGTTTGTTCTTATACCCACAGGCAGGTGTCATCCTCCCCCTTCATCAAGGAAACGTTTTACAACAGACAAAGACTATTACAGAAAACCACATCCATTCAAAATGCAGTTGTGCAGCCCAGTCCCAACTGGTACATCTGTAACACCACACATGTACCTCCCTTAAGGCTCAGGGGTCATTGCAGAAGAAGGGTCTGAAAGTTTGGGATAGCCAGAGGAACAGGGAGTTTGCTGCAAGATTGTGTCTCCTAGGCATATTAGAAGCTGCACCCACAAAATCTCACCAATGGTCTGTCTAAAAGAACTGAGCAGGGATGACAGCCATAGACAGGCTAACATGGATGGGGAAAGCCCAAGAGGCCTCAGCCTCACACACTCACACACACACACACACACACACACACACACACACACACACACACGCACACACACGCACACAAAGACTACAGGCAGTTAAGCAATGCTGAGAATGGGAGAAATAGACTTCCCCAGGGAGAGCACACTGACTGTTTACCAAACACCAAGTAGCTGGCCCTGAAAACATACATACAAGTAATGTTATGCAGCCTGAGCAGGTTGGAACACACACAGAAACACGATACATATGTGCATATATACAGGAACAAATACACAGGTACATATACATGGATATACACGTATATGTATATGTATGTTTCTGTGTGTGTAGTCCTAACACACACACACACACACACACACACACACACACACTAAGCAGCTACAGCCCACTCGATAGCACCAGTGTCTTGAGGAAAAGAAGGTCAGGACTGAGTTTGAGACACAAGGGGCCCAAAGGCCTGAGGCTGTACAGTGCTCCCGCCCTGCAGCTGTGGCTCAGCCAGACCTTGCCACATAGAGAAATGGCAAAGGAAACCTTATCCAAGCAGTTTCACATCAAAGGCTGCCAGGCAGGCTGACCTCCCTCTCCATCTAGCCAAGAAGCAGGTGAGCATCTGAGAGGTGGTCAGGAGGAAAGGAGGAAAGGGACCTTGTGCCATCCAGGGTGTTCCCCGTGTCCCCCTCCAGCCTGTCCAGTGGTGAGCAGTGGATCCAGGACACTCAGAGGGGCGCAGACAGCTCTTTCAGGGCCTCCGGGTCTTGCAATGACCCCCCAGCATGCCTGTGCCATGTTTGGAGCACACAGAGTCCAACCTGTGTGACAATCAAAGCAGCATCCGCCCCTTTTCCTCTTCCTGGGTGAAGTACTCAGAAGAGGACTGGCCTCCCGACATAAGCTTCTCTCCTCCAAGGTTTCCCTGAGGAAAGTATCTTGGAGAGCCAGGGCATTGGTAGTGTCCTCACAGCTGGCTGAGGCACCGTGGAGTCTGCTGTCCTATGGACTGGCAGATTTGACTTTCTGTAGCTGTTTAGAGTGGCATGTGCTGCATGTCTTGGGCCAACTGAGGTTGTTTCTTCCTCCTGTTCCTCTGTGGAGCAGGCAGGGTGGGCATGATCATGAAACTGGTGGGTATAGGTTCTCTAAGATCCATGACTTCACTGGGGTAGTTGGTTATTTTCTAGTGCCAGGCATGATTTCCCTTTTATTAAGAAGATCTTGAGTCAAATTAGAGATCTGTTTGTTATCACCACATGGCTTGATTTCTTTTCATCTTGGTCTGCTTAGTCTGTGTCTAGAGATGCACTTGTCATCTTAGAGTCAGTGTTTGGCACAGTGGAGAGGGCAGACCAAGCCCAGAGCTCCTGGGTGGACAGTTCTCCAGACCCTGCCCCACCTGCAGCCAAAGGCGAGATTTCCGGGGCCCTGGGAAAGCACCTCCTGTGATTCTAGGGAGATGTGTCCAACTTGTGGACTGATGATGAATTTATCCCCGTTCCTTCTGTTGGCCACTTAGCATGGGCTACCTCTTCTGGGACTACCTCTCTCCACACATGGCACATGCCACTGAAGAACTTGGAGCCTCGTGCTTGTGAGGCAAGCATTTCACTGAGCCATCTCTCTAGGTCCTTCTGACCCCTCTGACACAGTGCTGTCTCTACCACACTGTCACTCAGCTATTGCCATGGGCAAAGCTGCGAAACTGGGATGGAGCGAAGTAAGAAGAGCTGCACCACCTTGGGAAGGGACTCCTGAGATGGTAAAGAAAGTCACTGTTGCCTGAGTTACTTTATGCCATGGGATTTGCAAGGCAACAGTACAACTGGCTTCCCTGTATGCCCATGACCTTTGCCAGTGTCTAGGGAGCATTTGTGGAGAGAATCACAAAGTGGGGTGGGGATGCTTCCCTCACAGGGTACTTCTCTAACTACAGCCTCAGCTATTGCACTGGGTGCTTCCTCCCTGGTCCTTGTCTCCTTCTGTGTATACCTGGGGTCAGTCCTTCCATGTTGAGGCTATAGAAAGTCCGCTAAGCAAAGTTCCAATCCCTTCTCTCCCATACCTGCTTGAAAGTTCTGTCTGGATATCTCTGGATGAACCACGATATCCATGTCCAAAGCCCCAAGTCAAGATCTCACTCCACAACTATGATCCATGCTTCAGTTTCTGGGGCAGTGGCCATCTGTCTCCCTTCTGACTTGACTTTAAACAAGTATTATTTTCTTCTTTCAGATTCATTCAAGTGCTGGAAGCTTCTTTTCTTTCCTTCCTCTCCATCCTTACGACCCATCCTAGTATTGTGTCAGATCTTTGCGACTGTCACTCTCCAGCAAACCACTTCCAGGGCCTCTGCCTAGACCTGCCTGGCCAACCCATCTGTTAGTCTTTCCAGGCTTGCCTCACCTCTGTCTCACCAAGTCTGCTTTCTTATACTAACCTCATTCATAATATGCACGCGCGCGCGCGCACACACACACACACACACACACACACACACACACACACACACACACGGAGTAATGATGCTCCAAAGGATTCACCACCCTAGGTCTTTCTCTTGCTTCATCTACTGGATGTGAGGCTGTGAGGTGGATTCACAGGAGCATTGCCTTACATCTGATTCCGGCCCAAGGGGCTCCATTTTCCATATCCCATTTGTTCCTGTGAAGGACCACAACAAGGAATCCTACCCAGTCCAGAGCAGAGCACCTCTGCCCACTCGGGTTTGCTTCGGGCAAAGTCATCGTTTCACACTTGGTCTCCTTTGACCAGAACCTCAACAGAGATTCCAAGGGTGAGAAGTGGGGGGTGTGTAGATCCTGAGGGTGGGACCCGCTCCCTGAGAACTCCACTCTGAGGCTGAGGAAATGGTTCAGCAGGTAAAAGTGCCTGCCACATAAGCCTGACCCCGAGTTTGATCCCAGAAACTCATGGTGGAAGGGAAAACCCAATTCCAACAAGACCTCCACATGTACCCTGGCATGTGCATTCCTGCCCCCACACCCCACATCTCTCTCTCTCTCTCTCTCTCTCTCTCTCTCTCTCTCTCTCTCTCCTCTCTCTCACACACACACACACACACACACACATACACACACACACACACACACACACACACACACACACACACACACGACGAATGAAATAAAAATTTGTGCCTATTATAAGCAACAAAGTGGACTCTGGAGCACAGAGAATGTCAGTAAGCTCCAGCCAGCAGAGCAGTCCCGCTTACAGCCGCAGAAGTATCCCATCAGCTGGCCGGCCTTTGATGATTTTATTTCCCTCTGCTAAGAGTGTAGCTACCGGGAAATGCCCCCGCAGCAGGAGCCCCGATGGTGAGCTCAGGGCTCGTGAGTTCCACGTCACAGATTCCTTTGAGCTCTGTTCCTGAAGCCTGAAGTTTACATATGCCTATATTTATATGCCACAGAAAACTGTAAACACACACGTTTTAAATAGTGTCAGAGCACAAGTTTGTTTGTTTAACCTTAATGTATTCTATAAAATACCCTCCCAGACTTCTGCTCAGTCACGTAAGAGCACGCCCCAGCCAAAAATCCCAGCTAAGAAGTAAAGACAAAAATGAGCTCAGTGGGACAGACTCACAAACACAAACAGTCCCGAGGTGTACACAATATAAATGCTTTATTGCTAGCACAGAGGTTTCTTTTGAAGTAAATTAAAAGTCATAAATCTTCATTTTCACATTCTATACTGTGGTTTGAAGGGAACTAGCTGATTAATGCTGTGTTCACGTGGGTGTGCTGTGGGAGGAGCAGGGCGCCCACGGACGGACTCAAAGCGCATGTCAGGGCTCTGTCTGCTGAGCACATTGTCGTTTGCCAGTAACAGCAAGGAGAGCTCGCTTGAAAATACCGTGGACAGGCAAGTTATAAATAGAAAACTGAAAACTGGTTTGGTTAGGAAGTGGAAAACCGTTAAATAGAGAAGACGATAGATAGATGTCCATATTCTACACCTAGGTTATATTTGGCATTTTTAAATAAATGTTGTTCACCCAGGTCGGAGACTGGCTTCGATTTGGCAGCTGGGGAGAAGGGAAGGAGGGCGGAGCGGCCCACACCAGATGAGGCTCACTGGAGGCAGAGGGAACGGTGGGGTTGGGGAGGAAGGGGAGTCGGGCTTGCTTCACACCTCCCCCCTGCAGGCTGAAGCTCATTTGTTGGGAGGCAAGAGTAGTGTGTGGACGAGCGGGCCACAGGGCATGACGGATGAGGCCTGGCGGGACGTGGCAGTCTTGGCACACTGGTGCTCTGCAAAGAGAGAAGGGAATCATCAAGCTGGACCCCATTTTTCAAATGCACTGATAGCAGATTCCAGGCAGGTGACACAGGCACAGTGGGCCAGAGTAGCCATAGCATTAGAGGAGCCGGTGCTGGTACAGTGGGCATGAGGATGCAGAAAAGGCCGTGGTCCTGACTCCAGCAGGAACTCACTCCTCAAGACTTCAGCCAGCCTTGGAAACTCTGGCAGCTTCCTGAGTTTACCTGGACTGTCTCAGTTAGTCTTAAGATCAGCTTTGGAAAATATCTCATTCATCAGTGAAAACAATGGCTGTGGTCTGTGCTTTATTCTAGAATAACCAAGAATTTAACATATAGACACACACCCAGACACAGACACACAGACAGACACACAGACAGACAGACGGACAGACACACACAGACACACACACAAACACACACACACACACACACACACACACACACACACACACACACACACACACACACACACACACAATTTCCAAACCATGTAGTAAGCTCAGGAACCATGAACTACATGTGATGACCTGTGACCTCCATCACCATCTACACCAGTGCTTCTCAACCTTCCTAATGCTTCAAGCCTTTAATACGGTTCCTCGTGCTGTGGTGACCCCCAACCATAGTTATTTTTATTGCTACATCATATCTGTAATTTTGCTACTGTAAAGAATCATAATGTAAATATCTGTACTTTCCCATGGTCTTGGGCAATCCGTGAAAGGGTCGTTTGACTCCCCCCCGAAGGAGTCATGACCCACAGGTTGAGAAAACTGCTGCTCTACACACACACACACACACACACACACACACACACACACACACACACACACACACACCACAGCATTAAGTTCAGAAGCTGTGAACCATACATGATGACTTCTGACCTCATCTGCATCTTCTTTCCGCTGTGTTAATTATGGAAGTAAGAAAAGGACACACTAGATCCCTACCACCTAGAACATCTGCAGTGTACCAGCTCCTGGCATTTTCAGTCTGCCCTGGCTCTAACTAAAACCATTTCATGTTTTGCTTTGAAGAAATGGATAACATGAAATGGTAATTTGGCTGCAAAACCTTGGAAAATTGTTCCAGGCCCAAACATCTGCCCTAAATGAGCTCAGCCGAGGTCTCCTTGGAAGAGGGAGTAGTGAGGAGTGGGGAGGAGCTGGAAGGAGAAAATGAAGACCCTGCTGCCAAGCAACCTTTCCTCTAGGAAAGCTCTCTGTGAGGACACACCAAATACTGCAGCTCCCTTATTCCATCCACGGTCCGGTCCACACAACAACACTGGCTGTGCCGAGCACCCCGCCCCCACACACCTCTGTAATCCTCCAAGTACTCGGTATGATTAAGGTGGCTCCTTCCCGAGTGTCTATAAACCCTGCCTTGCTGGCCTGGGTCAAAGGTGCAGTGACCTGGCTGCCATGTCAATTCAGTATTTAAAGAAGGGCTAGGCTCAACTCTGTACTCCTCAGAGCTGGGCTCCACAGAGAAGAGGGGGGTCAGCGGAGCTTCACCTTCCAGCTGGGCCTCTTAGGAGTTCTTCTGGGGGATCTTCACCGTCACTGTCTTCACCTCTGAGTATTCACGTAAGCCAAACTCTCCCCTGAAACACACAAATGGCAGATTCAGACTCCAACGGCCCAGGGGATCGTGCCTGAGCTCTGGTGGCATCCTCAACAAGGTGAAGCTGTCATCTCTGAGCAGCAGGTCACTGGGCTCTACACACAAACTCCTAGTGGACAAACAGCAAAGCCCTCCCTGGTAGAAAGCTGCCCTCTCATGGGCAAACGCCCTTTCTTAAAGGATCACTGGTTTTCAGAGCACAGTATAGAAAGGAAGTGATTCCTTGGTACCCTGAGAGCCAGGCCTGGGCTTAGCCAAGGCAGGATGGCTCACAGCTGAGCACCATGACCGCAGAAAGCCAGGCCCAAGGTCTGCCAATGCCTGGGCCGTGTTTCCACCTTCTGGGAGTACTGGTCCTTCAGGAATAAGTATGCCACTCCACAGAACTCTCAGCACACACAGTTATCATCCAAGGAGCATGACTACACTGTGGATTGTTTACCCTTCCCACACCGAAGTTTCTGCTTCTGTAGGTGTGGGGAGGGATAAGGGAGGATATAGTGGTCATTCTGCCCACTCCTTGAGGAGACTGTCAAAGGGACTCTAAAATCTTTGAAGTTTAGATTCTTCAATCTGTTGACTATAGTTAAAGTCTGTGGCACACCTAGACCCACAATTAGCAAGGAAGAACCTCAGGGCTGCGCAAGAGTCAGGCCCCTTCTTACTGAAGTACCTCCATCTCTGAGTGGATCACCGCACACTGCCTCTCAGGGACACAGAGACCCTGAGAAGCCCCCATGTCTGCTTCTCAGCAGATTGGGTTAAACTCTGAGAAGAAGCAAGGGGCACCCCCAGAGGTAAGGAAAACATGGTAGATTTTGGTGGAGCCCAGCAAAGCATCTTAGGAACCCTTGGATTTCTGTTTAGACTGTGTATTTCCCCTAGTTTCTATTTGGCTTGCTGCAGCAGTTTTCTGAATGAGGTCCCCACACCACCTGCACCAGCACCATTCCAGAAGCTTATTACACCAGGAAGATCTTGAGCTGTAGCCCAGATCTACTCAACCAGAGTCTCTGAGGGTGGGTCCCCAGACAAGCATATTTAACAATCCCAACCCCAAGACCATGGATGACTTCTGTGCACATGCCTGCAATGCATTTCTGCATGCATGTATGTGTGCATGATTTGAGAAGCTGCACAGCATCCCACCACACTTCTCATTCTTGCAGTCCTGATGCTCATCGTCTGAGATGCCCACCGCTCTTTCCACCCCTTTGGTTGGGGTGATATTTAGCCTGTGTTTTCCCACCTTTTATCTCCGGGGACTGTGATAAGGCAGGGGCAAAAGGACAGAAAACGGATAGGACTTTGGGGCCAGGCAGCACCTGACGAAGCCTCTGATGGGGGTGGGGCGCCCATCAGATAACTGGTAGAAAGCAGACCTTACAGCTTGGAGAAACTGAGGCTAGGTAGCCAGCCTTCCTTGCAGCTTGTTTATAAAAAGGGTCACTTCCCTTCTCTGCTCCATCTGGGGGTGGGCACAGAGACTGGGACGTGAGGCAAACAATTCTTCCCAGAGGGAAGGTTAAGTGGATTTTCTGGAGACTATCAGACTAGCTAGAAGGAAGAACAGGTTCTTTTATTTAAAGCATTTCCTATTACTCTAGGTCATTCAGAGAGAGAAAAGATTTTGGGAGTAAGTGGAGACCAAGGACCAGGTCATTTACATCACAGCTTCTTAACTGTGGCCTGTAAGGGCTTGTGTCGTGAATAGGGTCATGAAAAGGTGGCCAGTAGTAAGGGGTTTCTGAATACTCAATGGCCAAAACTTTAATTCAAAATCAAGTATAGCATCTGAGGTTTTCCAGGCTGTGCTTGCCCCTTGCATTTTGTGGCTTCATGTGTTCCTGCTTGGTTCTGAACACAGCACACACTTAGCATTGTGCATGCCACCACGCTGTCTACCAACCTCAACACCGCACGCAGCTCAGACTCCAGACGGCTGTTTGCTATGAGGCAGGGAATTCTGTTACAAATCACATGTTTATTGGGCATACAAAGTTTCTTCTAGGAACACAATTTTTTATTATGGAAAATAAAGAAAAATGAATAAATTTAGTATTTTCCGGGGCTGGAGAGATGGCTCGGAGGTTAAGAGCACTGACTGCTCTTCCAGAGGTCCTGAGTTCAATTCCCAGCAACCACATGGTGGCTCACAACCATCTGTGATGAGATCTGGTGCCCCCTTCTGGCCTGCAGACACACATGCAGGCAGAACACTGTATACATAATAAATAAATAAATCTTTAAAAAAAAAAAAATTAGTATTTTCCTATCACCCTCCCTCAGCCTATAAATAGCAAATGAGTACATCTTTGGATTGTACTGTTAGAATGTTTGATTTTAAAAATTGCTATCTGAGTTTGATAAAACTTGTTAAGTGAATTTTGGCTTTGGATTGGGATAGAATTTCCAACAAGTTCTGAAATGTCCCTAACATGCTTTTGCTACTCGGCAGTCCATGCTTATGTGAAGCAGTGTTCTCAGCTTTGGAAAGCATGGAAGATGCTTTGTCCTACCGCATCAAGTATCCAGCAAATTCAGTTCTTTGTGAAAAGTTAAACAAGCACATCCATCTCATAAATAGGGAAAGTTTCATTAATCCTTAACAAATAGTAAAGTGATATATATTCCAAATAATTGTTTTATAAGAAATTTCTTTATGATTATCAGGATATGTTTGGGTTGTATACCTATTTTGCATACCTACATACCCCGGGTTTCATAAAAATTTCTCAGACAATAAGGAGTCACAGATGGAAAAGGTTGAGAAACCCTGACTTAGGTAAGATGTAACTGGACTCATCAAAGAGCTCCATCCCCTGGCTATTCCTTAACTGCGGCAGGAAGGCCACATGGCCAACATGTCTGTAAGTAGACAGAGGCTGCTCTTCGGTTTTCTTGGCCATTATTTTATATGGTTTGACAAAGCCAAACTGTCCCCTGACCAGCTTTCTTGCAAAGGGACATTTCTTCTGGAAAGAGACCAGACCTACATAACATCAAAAGTCTGAATCCCCGCAGGGCCTGTTCCTGATGAGGGACGGGGGTAGCCTGGGACTGGGCTCCATTACCCAGAGGCCATTTATTACAAGTTTGTTTTATACTGGTGATTCACTACGTTAATGATCTGTAGCAAAACACTGAATGAGAAGAGTGTTCCCAGGACCAGTGACTGTCCCAACACTTTAGAGAGATTAGTGAGGACAGTCGCAGAGGCAAGAAATGACCGAGCAAGTGGAATGCAGTCTCAAGAGAGGGGGTAGAGAGTTAAGGCCATATGCGAGCTAAGAAGAGGTCCTGTGTGCAGGAAGGTTTTGGACAGCTGACGAAGTACAAGTCCCCGTGAGAACAGGATTCCAGGTGGGTTATAGTTCTGTGGGGAGACAAGTGTGGCCAGGAGAGGAGAAGAGCCGGTGTCACTGGCTGGAATGTAGGAAAACGGCTACACTTGAGAAGGAACACGTTCCCTAAGGGAAAGAAGGGCCACCGTCCTAGCAGCCCATCCTTGATCTCCACTGGCAGCTTCACTTTCTGAAGGCTTTGCAGGCACCACCTCACGTTTATCTACATAATCCTAACATAGCCACACAGCAGCACTCCCCGGCAGCTAGCATAATTATGTCCATCTTATAGAGGACATCAAGGCTTAGGGAGATTGGAATTTTTGCCTACAGTTACAGAGGTAGGAAGCGCAAGTGCCAAGCTTTTCATCTAAGCAACACGACTTTCCAAACGGCTCTTAGCCTCAAAGCTGCTCCACCTGAACAGCCCAATGCCGAGAGGCTAGAGACTGCCAGCTCCAGTATAGGAAGCTCGTAGATCCCTCCTCATGTTTAATGGGGTCCCCGAACATCCCACAGACAGCACCCCTACCTTTCCCATAGTACTTCTGCCCACACTCCTCTCTACTACCCTGCTTTGCCCTCCAAGCTCAAAAGAATATTCTCCATCTGCTCAACTACTCCCCTCCTTAAAAGGCCAACTCAAACCCAAGTACAAGACCGTGCTAAAACAATGTCCAGACTTTCTCCCTCATTTCTGAGCTTCTCTTTCACTCCAGGGTTTCTGCCCTGGGGCCTGTCTGATCCCTGCAATGTACATTTCGTTTGTCCAACAACATTCTAAGTGCCTTAACTGCTGTAGTCCCTGCGCAGACCAAGTCCAGTGCTTTGCTGTCTCCGTTCACTACTAGTTAGTAGATTGTGATCTAACCATTCGCTTTTAAAAGTCATTCAGTAATGACTTCTTGTGAGCCACAGGGTTCAGAAAACAGATCAACTCCTTTCAAACTGAGAGCCAGGAGATTTCTAACTGGGGGTGTCACACCAGGAAGTCTCTGGCCACCACTCACTCCATGAGAGCCACTAATAGAAAAATCAATTATATTGTAGTCTGCACTGAGGATCAGTCTCCTGTCTACTTTACTTCTGCTATAGCCCCGTTTCTAAAGGTCATCAGCATCTCAGGACAACTGTGTTGGTTTTGAAGCCTGTTCCAGAAGAGTCCTCGCGCTTGGCCCCCAGGCTTCCGTGTCTGAATGTCATCAGACTATCTGAAGCCACCGAGACTCAGGTTAGAACGTCAGACCTGACACTGACTAGTTGTGAGACTGGGACACGCTGGTTGACCACTCTACCCCTTAGCTAGGTCTCCTGTGTGTAAAGAGAAGTATATGTACACAACTGCAAAATCCAAATGGGATACTGTGAGGGAAGGAGTTAGCCCAAAGCCAGACACACAACAGATACTTAGCTAAGGGCAGCTGCTGAGGTCCGGATGTTTGTGTCACCCCAAAATGTGTATGTTGGAACCTACTGCACAATGTGATAGTGTTAACAAGTGGGGCCATTGGGAACTGATTAAGTCATGAGGGCTCCACCCTAGCAAATGGGACCAGAGCCCTTCTAGAAGAGGCTCCAGCCCACTTCCTTTCCTCGGAACTTCATGAGGACACGGTAAGTGCCAACTGTGAGAAATGAACCCCTCCCAGACACCATATCTACCAGCACCTTGACCTTGGACATAGTTCCCAGAACCATGAGCAGTAAGCTCCTAATGTTTACACTGCCAGAAGAAGGTTGTGTTGTAGCGGCCCCCGGTAACTAAAATAACACCTGCTACTGTTAATGCTACATTCTTCTACTCATATTCTCTACCAGGCTCTACCAAGACATTCCTTAAAAAACTGATATCTCCCCAGTCCCCAAGCAATTTCCCAGAAAGGCACTGGGATGTGTTCAATTTATATCTTCAGCAGGTCCCCTCCCTGACCCCATGTCTTAACCCCACATTCCCAGCTTTAAAGGACTTCTAGGGGCTGAGCAGGTGGCACAGGCAAATGACCTGGACGGGCACAAAAGGAGTGGAAACCAGCAGTTAGCCTCTTGAAGCTACAGGTGTCACGGGAATGCAGAAGCTGCGGAGCTCAGAGCTCTGGCGATTTTGTTGTGGAGAGTGAAAGTGAACGAGCCATCCAGGCTTCCCATAAAGCCTCATGTTTCAGAGCAGCAGCTCAAGGTTTCTGCAGCTGAGAAGGCAGACTGCAATGTTCCTGTGGCAGGATGTGATGCTGGGCTTGGCAGCTGGTGAATGCCAGGCCTGAAAACTGCAGTGGTGTGTTCTCTGTGGGGTCTTCTCTGCCTTCAGCAGACATTATGGAGCTTTTCCTCTACTGACAAGATGAAGCTGAAGAATGGATCCACGTTTTCTGTCAACTCTGAGTGTGAGGGAGCTGCATCTTGTTCACTTTAGCACCAAACTCAGCTTATATGAGTCTGTACTCAGTAAAATGTTAGATTAAGCTGGGTATGGTGGGTCACTCCCGTAATCTAACACCCAGGAGGCAGAGGCAGGAGGATTACTGTAAGCTTGAGGTCAGCAGACACTACAAAGATCCAGGTAACTCAAGGCTGCAGAGTGAGACCCTATCTCAGAAAACAGCACAACAAAGCTTGTGAATGGAGGTGTGCAAGTGAAGTGAGCTGTTTTGTGAGCACCCTCTGTGCCGACACATTCCATCTACGTGGACACCGAAATCTTTGACACTTACATTTCTCTCCCATTTCCAGACATCTTGAACCCCCCAAATGGGCTCTGAGCATTTAAGGCATTGTAACAATTGATCCTGAAAGAAGAAAACAGCATTGTTAATACGAATCCCACTTCACAGAAATAATCCAATTGGTGTACTTCTTTGGTACATTTTTTTTTTCAAAGTCAAAAATTAAAAAATGACTTTGATTTTCTGGTCTAGTTTATAAGAGTATTTTCTTGGGGCTGGAGAGATGGCTCAGCAGTTAAGAGCACTGGATGTACTTTCAGAGGACCTGGGTTCAATTCCTAACGCCCACATGGTAGTTCACATGAGGTCTGGCTGCTTTTGTCTCTCCCATCCTTTCAGAGGACCCTTTTTTGTTACCCTGGCCCCTGAGAGCTATAATGCCCTGTCACAGTTTGGATGTTGTTTGTCCCTCAAGGGTTCACACGTCAACAGCTTGGTCCCTGGGGTGTGATTTTGGAGGATGAGGAGGAACTGTTAAAGGTGGAGCCTGGTGGGGGCTCCTTAGTCACTGGGGGAGCTAGCCCAGAAGCAAGACATTAGAGGTAGTTCCTGCAAGAGCTAGTCACTCTAAGAGCAAGTCCCACCCCTGAATCATGGAATGTCTGTCCATGTGACCTCTTCATCCACCACCATCTGCCATGAGGTAACAGGCTAAAGGCCTGCAAGAATCTGACCATGCTCCCTGGACTTACAGCTAAAGGCCTGCAAGAATCTGACCATGCTTACTGGACTTACAGCTTCCCCTGTGAGCTAAATAAAACTCTCTTTGAAATAAAGTTAGGATTTCACGATATCAATGAATGTGAACGGACACGGGCCTCCTTATATTACTAGTGGATATAAGCCTTACCAAACAGTTCCAGCTTGCATTGCAGAAGACACCATGAGGGCCTTGTTGATGTCATTAGTGAAGACAGCTGCTACAAGTCCAAAGTCTGAGTTATTGGCTCTTTCGATAACTTCATCCATAGTCTTAAACCTCAGAATTTCCTGAACAGGACCAAAGATCTGCAACAAAATGATGTATGTAAAGATGAAAAGTGTTAAAAGTTGATTATTGTCCAAAGGCTCTGGAAATCCCAGGAAAGGTGTAGAAGGTGTGGCAATTGTGAGAATGCCCGTGATACCTCCTCCTTGGCGATCCGCATGTCATCAGTGACATTGGAGAACACAGTGGGCTCAATGAAGAAGCCCTTCCTTCCCAGTCCTTTGCCTCCACACTCCAGCTTGGCGCCCTCAGCCACACCACTCTGGATGAGCTCCAGGATCTTGTTGTATTGTTTCTTATCAATCTGCAGGAGAAATCACTTGAGGACTCTCAGAGAGCCTTCCATGGAAATAGAAACATGCACATTCTCATGAACCTCCCTCTGTATGATTTTCTTCCCCAAATGTCACTGCACTGGGTCAAATCATATGAAATTGATATTACCTACTAAATTTTGAATGATGAAAAAATGGAAATTTTTTTATGGTTGCATCTAACAGATGGAGGAATCCAAAGAACTCTAAGGACTGCCGAACCAGGTCAGGATTTTTTTTTTTTTTTTTTTTTAGAACTTATCAAAATGCTAGAGGCCTGTCTCAGTGATTCTTCAGAGTTTCTATAAAGAATAGATACTTCTGCCCAGATGAATAATTAAGCAAGTCATAGACTGACATTAAAAAGACAAAAACAATGGATTACACAGAGCCTTTTTCAATAGTGCCACCTTAAGATACTATTACTATCCTAGAGGAGTTATGCCTTCAGAGAAGGGAATTAAACTTCCCAAGAGAAAGATTCAGATTGAACACAGAAGCCAACATCTAAGCTGTCATTCAGTCATTATGGTGAATGACATGAGAAGCTGTATTCACCCAGGTTTTCTTAGCTAGAACATCAACCTTCTCACCAGAGGTCCCCAAACTGAGAGATGGTTTCCTTTACTAGAAAACCCACGCTTAGTGATACAGATGAGAACCAGTTCAGACAAACCCTTGCAAAATTCTGACCCTGACTAGATTAAAACCACAGGGCTGGGAACCTATCGTGGTTACAGCCAGGCCAAAGTGCTCGAAGTGCCGCGTGGCTGCTCAGGAGGTACATCTGTGATGTCTCCACTGCACTGTGGGTGCAGCACAGTCAGAGTGAGAGGTAATGCCACAGCCCAAGAGAAACTCGGCTAACCTCTCATTCCTACACGTTACAGACCATTGCAGCGAACAGAGGGCGGCTGGCAGTTGGGCAAGGGAAACTGAGTCTGAGAAGGAGATCTCCACCTTTCCCGACCTGAGCACCTGAGAAGTGGCCAGAGGCCCGGGGTGGGGCTACATTACCAAGATCCACCCTGCCATGCCCCGAAACCTCCTCACAGCTAATCACCCCAAAGTTCTTCAGTGATTCTATTTAGTAATGTAAAGAGAGGCAATACCTCAGCGCCTACATTTTCGGCTCTGAAGATAAGGTACAGGAATAAGGAGACGGCTCCACGTGGAAGAGGTTGTTTTGTTAGGGCCCTTAGCACCAGTGTCTGGGCCAGTCCAGATTGATTTACACAAGGGTAATGCTTATGGTTTCTTACCTGAGGACCCTGTTCAGTGGTGGGGTCAAAGGGGCTCCCCACAATGCGCCTCTTGGCCCTTTCCACACTTCTTTTCACGAACTCCTCATAGATGGACTCTTCCACAAAGATTCGAGACCCTGCGGTGCAGCACTGGCCTTGGTTGAAGAACACCCCCTGGTGAGCCTGCTCCACGGCATAGTCCACTACAAGAGGAGGGAAGCATACGTATTCTCAACACAGCCTTGCCTGTGACCTGTCTGGGGAGACACCTTCCTTTCCACTTTCCAAAGGCCGGGGTATAATGCCCTGCTCTAATGCCCTGCTCATCACAGCCTATGCCAGTGAGTAGCTCTGGACTGAGAACACAGACAATACTTGCTATGTGAAGTTGGACAAACTTACCTCATTGAGCCTCTTTCTTTTTTCTGCAAACAGAAGGGCCAGCCTTCATCACTCATAACAGGAGATTTAAATTTCACTATACAAAAGACTCAGGATAACTGTGATTCTTCCAGTTCAAGAAATGCAGTGGAGACTAACAGAAGCCATCACAATTGACTGCTAGCATACATGAATGTAAGCCCAGAGCTTACCAAACCTTTCCAGTTTTAAGGAAAATCAGAAGTCAGAGTTTTAATGTGTCTTTTTAAGATTAGTGTAATGGTTGAAAAAGTAAACATATATTCCATGCGTTTGGCCTAAGTCCTGCCCACTTAGGACTCCCGACCAACTAGATCTTGTATGTTTAATGACCATTTTGGTGATTAAACTGTAACAGGAGTGATCCTTTGCAGATACTCCATCTTCTCTCTATGTGGAATTGTTCAACATCAGTGTGATAATTATTTCCCCCTCCTTTCTGATGGCTTACACTTCAAAGTACTATTGATAAATCTGTATGCTGGTTGCTAGATGACTGAGTCAGTGTGACAGTTGACTGCCCGGTCCTCAAGAGGAAGAGGAACAAGAGCTGACTTTTTTGAGATTGATTTTTATTATTTTTAATTCTGTGTAGGTATTGCTGTCTACATGTAGGTGTGTGCACACGAGTGCACGTGCTCTGAAGCTTGGGTTACAGACAGCTGTAAACCACCTGTCTGTAAACCACATGGATGCTAGGAATGGAACTCAGGTCCACTGAACAGCAGCAAGTTCTATCTCTCCAGCCCCACGGTCTCTAATCTTGACAAGGAAGCTAAAGGCGCACTCTGCAAAGCCCAAGTGGTGTGTGGTTTCAGTCACTGTCTTCTCTCTCCTGACTTCTCCAACGCAGAACTGAGAAAGAGTGCTGCCTGGAGGGCGTGAAGAAGAAAAGGAATGACTGAAGGGGGTTCTGGAATTTCATTCTGGAGAGTCTTTCAGGACAAGAGCACACAGACTAGGTGGTCTCTTCCTGGAAGGGTTGCCTAGGTTACCATCTATGCGTCTGGTAAGGTTTGTCCCACCCAAAGTCCTGGGAGCAAGGGGAAGGGGTCAGCATGAGTTAAGTAGAGAAGCTGGTATGGGTTTGGAAAATGTAGCCAGTGCTCTGGAAGCAGCATTTCCTTTTTGATGATTGGCCAGCCAGCTGAAAAGATGACAGACCCAGATGAAAAGTTTCAGATTTCTTAACTCTAAGCAGAAACTCTATTTGAGGTATCAGAATCTTAGAATGTTGCTCTTTCTATTACATATTAATGACCAAACCTTCACCTTTTCTACCCTATCCTACAACACCAGAAAGTCAAAATGTCCCTAGACTGGTCAATGGTTGGCTAGGTGTTCTTTCTCCTATATGAAATAATCATCTCCTCAGAGAATTGTGATGACCTTTACTTCAGAGACCTAACCCTTGCTATTCCATCAAGAGTAGACATACAGAAGAAGAACGTGAAGAGTAGCATTCTGACACACGCAAGAGATCTGTGGGCCACTTACAGTCAGCATCGGCAAAAATAATATTAGGGCTTTTCCCCCCGAGCTCCAGAGTCACTCTCTTTAAGTTACTTCTTCCGGCTGCTTCTTGAATCAGCTTGCCAACCTGAAAGGAAGGGAATGCAGAGGGTTGATGCACCTTGCACCGCCGCAGTCAGAGGTCAAGCCAGCTCCAGGCAACAACAGGCCATGGTAGTTAATTGATCCTAAAGGCAAAATGATCCCTCCCAAGGGACAACTTTTGTGGTCAACTTGGGAGGATGAAACAGGCAGCTGGGATGCAGTTGAACACGTATGTTGAAGAGGATGGAAATAACGATTTCCTTTCATCATGGGAGACACAGGCCAGAAGGTTTTGTTGGAGATAAATAGCAAGTAATATGTGATTAAAAGTTTCACCACCACATTATGGTCTTTCCTTGGGACTATAGCCTCTGGGGGGAGGGGAGGCCAATTGACCCCCCTTGAAAGTTACCATATCAAGACAAAAAAAAAAAACCCTGTTCATTTACCTCCAAAACTACCAAGTCTTATGCCTTTGCCTCTGCTTTGGGCTAAAGTGTTCTAGATAGTTGAGAGTCTGTTTCTAACTAGTGTGTTAGTGTAAATGCCTATTCATCTAGAATTCAAGTGAACAAGAGGCTGTTTAAAGAGAAACCATTTGACACTAAGTGGATATCAGTTATGAAACTGAACCTGTCCAGTGGAAACAGGGATGTGTCATAGAGAGGCTCTGCTCAAGAAAGAACATGGTACCTCAGGGGCTGAGGATGCTTTCAGAGGAAAGACTGAGGCAGCCAGACCCCTCAGGGTCTGCCTAGGCAGAGATGGACACTTTGGGGATGACCTGCATCCACTCATCGATGGCAGCAGGCTATAAAGGCCCTGTCCAGCACAGGACCTCACTGCAGTGCCATATATGCTCCGCCATGCCCAATGTGGGTGGCTAATGTTGTCAGGCCTGCCTGTGGTTGTCTTCCCTTTGGCAGAGGTTACTGATGGATGTCCTGTGCAAAAACTACACCTCAATGATGGCCTCAGAGGATCCACTTGCAACACGAGGCTGAATCATACTGATTAACACAGGTCACTTCATGCAAATGCTGAGCTGTCATGTAGCCTATACAGGAAGTTGGGTCCTGTGCCGAGGAAACGTTACTTGTATGGAATTCTACCGAGAAATAAAACATTTAAAAGTCTTGAGAAGAGAAAAGCTACCTTTATGCTTACGCCTGGTGTTTCAGTGGCTTTACTGAGACTCCACAGCAGGATAATGAGTTCTCAGACACTGGAGAGGTGTAGGTAAGAGAAAAGACCCCCCACCTAGACTGCCTGGAGTTTTCACTGCCTTGTACTCAACTGTGGGGTCTTGAGAAACTGGGTCAGCTTTCTGAACTTTGGTCCCCTGCTCTGCAAATGGGGATAAAAAGAGTACGTGCATTAGAGTTTAGAAGTGCCGTGATACAGTGATTTAACACAGACAGCTCTCAGAACCCAGTCTAGCACACTGTAAGTGTCCATACATCCTAAACACATACAAGGGTGAGGAGCAAGGAGGGCCTGTTCTTCATGCAGAGACATCCAGGCGGCTGTAAGAGGAGGTGCTACCAGGCTCACCAATGTGTGTCTCCCCCAGATCTCCCCAACTATCTACATGTATGGTAATTGCTTCAGGAAAAGCCCCAGTTGCCAATATTGTGCACTAATTGGGATGAATGCCTTCGTGTTGCACTGTGATTCTGCCCCATGATCATGTTTTTTTCTTTTAAGAAAAAATGTGCTCATTCCGAGGAAATAATCTTTTTTTTTTTTTTTTTTTTTTTTGGTCACAAGGTATTTTTGTCCAATGACAGTTTTCATGTCTGCAGTAACTATACAGTCCATGATCACCAGAGAACAATAATTTGTTGTTTCAGAGAAGTCATATCTCTGAAAGACACAGAATTAGTTTCTTGTTTTGCACAAAAATGTTACTCATCAAGGTGTAGTAAATGCTAAAATCTGATCACGAATATTAATAGACTCATTGTGGTTCACCAGCCAAAGTTCTCCTTTGCTATCCTGCCAGCTTAGGCCTCTTGTATCCCTAGGCGAAGTACCTAGGAATACCTGGGCTCAGTAAAGGCTGTTTCCAGAAAAGCAAATATGCTTTCTCTCTCTTCTGAGAAGAAAACACGCAGACACAAAGGCAGTCTCTGGCCCTTTGGTCTGACAGACAACAGTGTAAAGTAGAAATTATGTCTAGAGTCTGAGACTCTAGGAGAAGGGGGAACCTGTCGATGGGCAGTTCAAGAACCAGCTGCTCTTTAACTCCATGCCATCACCTATGAGGAGTCCCTGAAGACTTGGCCATCGGTGACTGCTTGCTCTTGTGAGGAATTTCCATGTGCTTGGCTCTCTCTGCTCTTTGTAATTGATGTGGGTACATTCTAAAGTCTTGGGAGATAAATAAGTGATTTGTCAAAGATGACAGTTAGTGAAATTCATGAACATGTCATTCATGATGTGAGTCTAGGGCAGACCTTTACATGTCCTGATTCATTTATGCTGCCCACAAACCCCTGGGGGACATATTATCTCACTCTAGAGAACAGCAGATTTAAGAGTCAGAAACTAATAAACATTAATTAGCAGGTTACCTAGCTGCTCAGCAGCAGGCTGACTATAAGGCCCAAGATTAGGGGCCTGCCCATCCCTCCCTATTCTGTCCTCTGTTCTCCTCCTTTTCTATGTCACTAAGGATGCAGTGTGTGTCACAAACCACCAGATCTTATCACCACACTCCAAACTGATGGGAAAGGAGAACAACAGCTCCTGTATTTAAGAAAGAAGCTGCATCAAAGGGAAGCCATGGATTTTACACTGAGCCAGATGTTGACTAAATGCTTAGGGCCTGTAAAGAAAGTGCCAGCCTAGCTGGCCTGCTTTTCTCTGAGCCTCACTCCCTGACACTCATCAGAGATGAACAGTCCACCAGACTGTTCTGTGAGGGGTCAGGTTTTGCCACTAGGTATGTTGGCCAATGATTATTTTCATGGCTCCAGTAACTTTACAGTCCGTGATCACCAGAGAATAATTTTTCCTATGCCAGCCTTTCCTTAGAAACCAAGATTATTTATGATAAATATTGCAGGACAAATATAGGCTGAATAGTGCCTTTCTTCTTTGTTTCTGGACAAAGGTCAAGTTGTAGTTCAGCCTCCAGGAGAGATGGATTTGGTAGCAATGAGAGAGGCGCTTCCATCTGGGGTGGTCTGAGAACAGAACAATTCTAAAAATGCACCTGCTACAGAATGCCTTCGTTCAGCGCATTCTCACAGTTCTACTCTTTGGCAGGTGCAAGGCTGACTTAGTCTCTCACCAACAGGGAATGGGCAACCAGAGAGACTCTCATGGAAACCTAGAAGGTATCCAACAAGTGTGGCTGGCTCTGAAGTACACTTTGAAAAACCTGGCTCTAATTTAATACTAGGACCAAACAGATTAAGCCATAAAAGTACTTTTATATTAATGTAATTCTTCACTACAACCCACTCAGTTAGGCCACTCTGATCCTTCCCTATGGAACAGGGCAAGGATGCAACAATCTTTATCAATTGCAGGGTCGGGCATCATAGGCCTACCCAAGGTGTTCTTAGTTTACAGATCAAACTCTCTGACAAAGATACCACCAACACGTGACTCTTCCATGGATTGGAGAGTGGAGAGAGGTTAGGTGACTCCAAAGTATTCCTTACTACCATTATTACAAAGGGAAAACAGAACCAATGCAACCCCAAAGCAGGGGAAAATGGTGTGCTTAAAATCAGAGTCCAGGGCGAACCTGTGCTAACATGTCTGCAAGCCATGAAAATCACGCTAAGGTATTACATACACAATTCCTTGGAAAGGTGTCAGTCTAAACCTATGGGATTTGAAAGTCTAAGAAGCAGTGATTGTAAACAAGACAAATCCCTGGAGTTCACTTCCCTTCTTATGCGGGAGGGTTGGAGTGTAGTTCCACAGGAGCATGTTCCACACCCCTTCCTACATGTCCAGAAGGTAGGAAGTGCCTCGTGAATAAAGGAGACTTAAAGGTCAAGATAATGGGCAAACTGTATGAAAGCTATGCCAATTTGAATGAAATAGGCAATATACATATAGATGAAAAGAGAAAAATCATACAGTTTGGGAAACAATCTTGTAAATGGCATAAATAGAGCATAAGGACCTGGTTTTCAGGCCATTGTCTGAAAAGGTTTCACAGTACACTCCTATCATCCCGTCCCATCTCTGGGATGATGTGCCTGGTAAGCATAACCATATGGAGGTTTATGGAGTAGTTCGGTTCTTAAGGATTCGAAGTCCTAGGCTTGCCAGGCATGGTGGCCCATGCCTTTACGGCTAGCACTCAGGAAGCAGAGTCAGACAGATCTCCAGTCTAGTCTACACAGCTAGTTCCAGGCCAGCCAGAGTTACGTGACGAGATTGCCTTAAAAAAGAAAAGGAAAGGAAGGAATGGGAAGAGGAGGGGAGGAGAGGGGAGGGGAGGGAAGTCCTGGGTACTATAAGGTGGGTTTGCTCCTAACAAACTTCAGTTTGGAACTGCCCCTTCACGTTCCCTGGCTTCAGTTTCTTCACCTGCAGAATGAAAGCTCAACCCAGCAGCAAATGCGTCCCTTAGCACTCTGGTTAACTGGAGTTTAAAAGGACAGATGGGACTCCTGGGGCCTGTACTCACTCAGAAACTGTGTTTTTCTTGCCATAAGGAACAGAAGTAGCTTTTCCCAAGAGCACCACAGCTGTTGAGGCCAGTAGAAAAGCTGGTCTGTTTTGAGTTTCCCCACACAATCCTCCTTATGAAAGAGTAAGCGATAGCGTGGCTATCATTGTTTCCTAAGGCCGCACTCCCTGCAGAGAATCCAGCTCTATCTGTGTTCCCCAAGCAGGCACGGTGGTGAGTGGGGGTTCCCACACACATGTGAAACTGGGCTAATTCTCAGCAGGAATGTTGGCACAGACCAACTCTGCCTCCCATACTTGTTTGAATAGACTTCAAGATTGATATTAGGAGTATCCCTACAAGAGCCGCAGTACTCCAGAATCCTGTTCACGGCAATGCGACAG